CTACATCTGGATATGGCACCTACACATAAAAGTAACTTCTGCAGCATATTTTGAAATAGTGCTGAAGAGGGGACTGTTTAAAAATATCTGTCAAGGTGCCAAGAAATATCTTTACAAGGCAAAAAAAATAAAAACGAGTGCTTTGATGATCATAATTAACCACTTCACTACCGGCATGTAAAGCCCCCTTCATTACCCGGCCATTTCTCAGCTTTTTGCGCTGTACAGGTTTGGCAGAGCATTCCTCCGTCACGCAACACTGTAACAAAATGACTTTTATATCATTTTTTTGGGACAAATAGAGCTTTCTCTTAGTGGTATTTAATTACCGCTTTTTAATATTTTTTTTTACCACAGAGCCACATTTAAAAAAAAAAAGTCTGTTTCTCTTACTTTCGTTTATAAATCATAGCAAATATAAATGTCAGGACAGTATGACAATCCACACAATGAAGAAACATGCCGGTATTGGGGGGATTAAACACAGAGCTTGGTAATAGTGTACAAGGTACAATAAATGTACAGGTCATAGACAGATGGAGGCCGGGGTGAAAAGGTTAAGGTACAGGTCGCATACAGTGGGAGGATAGAGACAAAGGTGTTAATATATAGATGTGCAGGAGAAGGGAGGTGAAAAGCTTAATATACAGGTCACAGCAGAGACAGAAAGCAGGAAAGGAGGGGGGTTAAAATCATTTGAACCTTTATTTATCTATGTATTTGCTGCTTGTTTTCACTAGTAAGTAATGAATGGATGACTCATCCACTCATTACTCATTTTACTCTCCCCTGACTCTGATGTAAGGGAAAGGGGAGGGCTTGGCAATGTAAACCAAATAACCAGTCACAGCGATCACAGGACACAAAGCTGGTCCAATTGGCTCTGTGTCTAAAGCTGCTGTTCTCCGCAGTCTCATGACAGAAGCTGCAGTGGCCGTGGCTGTGCGCACACATGCGTTCACAGTAGGACATACAGGTACATCCTCCTGGAATAATGGGCCAGTGGTTAAGGATTGGGAAATATGAACTGCACTGTTGTTTATTTTGTAGATGCCTCTTCTGACATTACTTCTGTTTGCACCTTTCCTAGTCATTGGTTATTTGTTGAGGAGTTATTACATAATACAGGCACGATAATAGAATAAGATCTAATCCTGCTACTGCTAATGCCAAACTACTAGAGATAGGGGCCTCCACCAAGGCTTTTTTTTTTGCAGAAGTCCTGGAAAATTCTACAGTGGCCAACTCCGTTACCTGTCTTGAACCCCATAGAAAATCTCTGGTGGGATTTGAAGAAGGCGGTTGCAGCACGCAAACTCAAGAATATTAGTGAACTGGAGGCCATTGCTCATGAGGAATGCTGCCAGAAGCTGGTGCTTGGCTATGCATCTCATTTGCAGCAGGTCATACCGGCAAACTGGTGCTCTACTAAGTACTAAAGATGCTTGCAATGAAGGGGTTGAATAATTTTGAGGCTGCAGAAGTCATTAAAAACATTTTCAGTTGAATGTGCGGAAACCACTTAAAACATTTGTTGTGTTGACCTATTTCAATTGCTTTTGTTTGATTTGTCAATTGCAAAGGTAAGGTGAAGGTAAACAGCATCAGGAGGGTCAGGGACCCCTTATGTTAGACTTCAGTTCAAATGAGTGTTAGGTGCCCCCGGCATTTATATCTACTCCAGTAACTTTATAACCCTAATCCAATCTCAGTTGTGGTATGAAATTTTGTCAAGGCAGATGCTGATTATCCTAGACAGAGATAGGGGTTTTTATTTATTGTAAAAACTGCATATTCTAATTAAAATAATCCAATGGCAACATGTCTTGGTACAGGGTTCAATTGAGGTGTTTGCTGATTTACATTGCTAAAGGTGTGAAATGTGGTCAAATCGCTAAGGTAATGATGCAAAAATGGCATTATAACAGGTAGTAGGCCGTGCTAAAGACCCTCACCCCTGTTTGAGGATTGGCTGTGCCAGTTTGACATGGCTTTTTTTATACCTCATGTTAGCTAGTTGCCCTCTTTATGCAAAATGAGCATCTTACTAGTCTCCCTTAATGTGTAGGAAGACTGCAGAGTTCATCCTCATGTGTTCGGCCTCCTATATATTTTCTGAGTGGTTTATGATTTCCCCAATGCACAGATCTTTGCATTCCACACTACACTGGATTGAATATTCCAGGTTATTTCTGTCTCAGTGTGTTGTTTGTTGGAAACTCTGGCCACCTAAAAGATGACTATATTGTCCCCCGTTCAACAGTCTGGTGTTTTTTCTTTACTTTGCAGTTGTTTTAACAAATACCCAGTATGTGTAGCCATGGATGTTTTGCATTCGTTGTTCCTAGGATCTGTATTTGTTACCTTCTTCGCCTGGTGTTGTAGAGTTCCAGTAACTCCAAGGTGGTATTCCAGTGGGTGGTGGGGAACAATAAGTAGAGACTTATCTGTGTGGGTAGGCTGGTTTCCTGTACACTTTAATGTCCACGATACTCTCTCATTGATGTTACACTGTCTAAAGAAAAGGGTTATTTGTAATTTTGCACATCTTCCACTGTATTTTTACACTTTGTGTTCATTAAACTTCATGTTTTGCTTATTACCCATATATTGGCTACATACCTGAACCAATGACTGGGTGCTCCCTTGGATACGTTTAAAGCTCTTCTTTTTACCTCCTCTGGTAGATGCTGGGGATCCTGTTGCACTGCCATCTTTCTGTATATAAATGTTATTTTTGTATTTGAAATGGACTTGGTCTGGTTTGAGTTTCTGTGGGCTGTAGAGGGTCTTTTTGAGTTTTATACCCTCTTTACTGTCTCTACTGCTTCTGCAGTTGGTATACAAGTAAAAAGGGATGTGACATTGTTGGGGACCCCATTGTCTTCTTTGACTCATTTGAACTGATGAAGACACTTAGATGACTGAAGAAACATCTTCAGTATTACAAACGAGTTCAGTTAATTGTGACTAACTACTACTAGCTATAACATGATTTAGAAAAGTGACTATCTACACATTATTAAGGATAGATCCAATTTAAGTGATACTGGGTATCTTATATAGTAAATATAGTATAGAGAATATAAAGTACAGAAAATATAGTAGCTAATTTGTCCATACTGGGACTTGGGTTAGTTAGGGAATGGAGTTTTTTTCTCTGTACCTGCTAGAGGATGGAATTAGCATTTGAATTAAATGTGACTGAGTGTTACATAAATACATTCCTCCAGTTATCCATATACTTTATGTAAAGCAGCCTTATCTTACCTGTTGGCATTCAAAGGATGAAATAATTTTGTTTTGAGTTCTTAAGCCACATTCATGGCAGAGAAGTGCCACAGTCTAGAAACTCTGGTTATTTTCTTCATGAGCAGTGCTTTTTTTTGTTTTTACCCTTTACCTTGCTAAAAAAAAGCATGACCGTTCAGTCAGCCATTTCCAATTGTCCTTCTCAAAAATGAATGGGTACATGTTGCAGCTCTGCAGAGAATGCAGATGATAACACATCCTTTCTAAGGCTGGGAGAAAGTGTTATCCTTTATGAAACTTCTTTTATGGAAATCCATCTTTGCAAAAGGAAGACATGAATTTTAATAGCCAAAGCAATCAGGGGAAGCGGCCTACAGGATTTAATTTTCTAACTCAGCTTTAGGTGCTTCTCTAGTAACTCTTCTTTCTGATGTATGCCAATTGAGCAGTATTGTTTATTTTGGGTTCAATGAAAAAATATGCAGCTGTAAATTGATACACAGGATTAATTTAGCATCATAGTTAAGACTAAATCTCTAGTGGTTTGTACATATTTTCTTTGTTTCTTTGATTGCTGTGGTAAGAAATAATAATAATAAAAAAAAAAAGAATATTTGTTTTAATTAGGTTAATATGCAATATTGCATATTAATATTTAGTATTTTGCTAGCCAGCAGGTAGAGCTTTAGGTCCCTTTCACACAAGCTGATCAGGAGAGGATCCGTCAACAGATCATCTCCTGATCACAGCAGTACGGAGCGGATGTCACCACTGTGACATCTTTGTCCGTTCAGTTTTTTCCTCCATCTTGTAATGGAAGAAAAAATTGAAACTGCCATACCCCATGTCTGTCTATGTCTATGGGGAATTGGAAGTAAACAAACATGTGTCCGTTTACTTCAGATTACCCCCTGGCCGGCACGATCTGGTTTGTCAAAATGGGTCTCTGATCCGTTTGTTCTTCTGGACCTAGCCGAAGCTGGGGCTAACCATGTGTAAAGGGACGCTCGTAAGTTTACATGCGGCTGCCCATAGACTTGCATAGAGCATCCGATCAGGTCCGGCTGAAAAACTGACAGGCGGACTCAATCGGACCACTCATGTGTAAGGGGGCTTAGTTTCCTTTTCACTTGTCTTCCAGAGACTGTTTAGCAACCTGTTGGTTACAGAGCTCCATAGCTCTGAACATAGCACAGAATGTAAAGTGGTACTATACTCTTGGCACTTTTTAATCTAATTCACTGCTAGAAAGCATTGTAGCAAGCCCCAATATATGCAACTTTCCCAGTGTGGCCAGACACTTGCAAACCTCCCCTTTTCTCCACCACTTGGTCCCGGACGCCAAGCAAAACTTCTCGGAACTTCCAGGTAGGAGAGGGTGTGTAGTAAGGACACAGGAGCATGTGCACATGAGGTCACAGGAGGAGTGAGGCAATGTAACGCAGTGTAAGCACTCTGGGGACCTTTCTTATCCATTGTGTGCATTTATTACCGATATTTATTCTTTGCAGTACTGGTTATCAGATAGATGGTTATTCCATACATGATATGTATATTCAGTGTTTACTGTATGTATATTTAGTCAGAGGCCGTTTATTTGTTTATCCGGCTATATTATTTTACAATAAAGTCATGTTGAAAACACTAATTGCATACATTTTTTTTCAATAGCAATGTGTTTTATATTTTCCTTAGCGTCATTTACTAGATGACTGTTAATAGGCCATGTCTGCATTTTCCCCTTATAGGTTTACAGTGTGGACTGGAGTCAGACAAGAGGAGAGCAGCTCCTGGTGTCAGGGTCTTGGGATCATACTGCTAAACTAGTAAGTGTAAAGAAAAAAAGCTGCACTTAATTTGTCTGCAGGACACAACTGAGATACTGAAATTGCCTGCTGACTTCTCTGTGACACTGGTGACATCTGCTGCCTTTATTTTTTCTCAGTTAAGAAGCTGATGTTACTGTTGCTGTAGGGCAGACCCAGTGAAAATTATCAGTAGGGGCTTCTCTATACTGGCAATATCTCAGTTACCTTATGAGAAGCCCACACATTGCCACTGCTAAACCTCTACTGATTATGGGAGTTTTAATAATAAGTGACAGTTTAATAAGTTACTGTTGTTGACCATATAACTTTGACTATTGTAGATTCCAGCAACTTGTATACCAATTTTAATTAATGGTCTCTTTTTACAAATGAAGTTGGAGACTATAACTGCTGGTTCTTGGAAGCACAGTAGTGCAGGAGAGAAATTACCAGTGCAGCAATGTACAGTCACTGAGCGATTTATCATTTTTATGGTTTGGTGTTAGTTACAGAATTGCTTAGGTACTCATGTTATCTACTATAGCAGTAATTTGTAGCTGCATAAAGAAGCTTTGTAGTTAGAAAGCAACAACAGCAACTCTGTAGCCAGCAACACATCACCACAAAAATAAGAGAGATTTGTAGTTGCTACCAATATTTGCTATAAACATGCTGTTGAGGCATAGCATATAATGTGCCTATAGATGCCAGTTATATTATGCATAGCTGACTGAGTTGGGCATAGCAGAATTACATAAGAGAGATTTTGGCTGGGTAGTTCACTCTTCATTGTACAGATAATGGTTATATGGTGCATTCGCCTTTCCATACAATGGCTTTGTATTGGTTTCAGAATATGAATAGAACCTTTGGTTGCCTTGCCAATTTTGACCTCTGTGTTTTCAGCCTTGTGGACTTTTTTTTAAAGAGCTCATAACTTAACTGCTTCTAACAGTTCCTGTTGGGTCAAATAGCATGGTTTAGGGGTATATTGGGTCATGTCTGGAGGTAAACTTGGTTCTTACTATTGTCTGTATCCTTTGTAACTTGCAGTGACACTGTAGTTATTGTACCTTCTTGGACTCCCCCCTCCCATTCATTGTCTCTTAAGCTACATATTTATGTTTTTTTTCTTTTTAGTGGGATCCCTTAGTTGAGAAGTCACTTTGTACGTTCACAGGACATGAAAACATTATTTACAGCACTGTTTGGTCCCCACACATTCCAGGCTGCTTTGCGTCTGCTTCAGGTAACTGACTAAAACTGCGTTCAGATATTCAAAGATAATTGTTTAGAGGCATTTATTCTTAATGTATCTCATTAAAGGGTAAGTTCCCTTTCTCACAAAATGTGAGTAAATTAACTTACTGACACCTTCCTGCCACCTCTCCCGGAGCCCACTGCACATACTTGTGTGATGCCACTGCCAGCCGGTGTACGCTCATAGCCCCGCAGTATTTAATGAGAATAATGCTTGCAGATGGCTCATTGGTCAGCACAGTCACAGGACTACGCCGACCAATGAGAAGCTTTTCTTACTTCCGGGACTTTGACTCAGAAGCACTGCGTGGTCAGCGTTGTCACTGTGGTGACCAATAAACGCTTACCATTTGCGAGCATTATGCTCATTACATACTGGGGGCCTAGGATGTACAGTGTTTGAACTGTACACCGGTTAGTGGGGGGCATCGCACAGATATGAGCAGGGGTGGTGTGGCGGCGGTGTCGGCAATTTGATTTTCTCACATTCTGTGAATAAGTGAGCTTATCCTGAATGGACCACAGATTTATAGTTACTAATTTAAACGTTTTAGCGCTTTTTCCAATTACTTTTTTGTACTGGTAGATCATTTCAAGAATACGGAAAAAAGACGTTTTACATGTTTAACATTACATGTGATATAGAATTCGTCCACTAGGTGGTAGTGTTTTGTTTTTGATTGGAGGCCAGTACTTAAAACTTGTGGAAACCCAAATTTGATTGCTGATAAACCTGGTACACTGAAGGTTTTTCCTTGTTTGAGCAAATAGAGAAGGAGTAAAACTGTAAGCTTGCGACGTGAGATAGGTAACCAATGCTCTAATCTCATAAACAAAAAGTAGCACTATCTTCTAACTTAAAGATAAATAGATATGCTGCTGTTATGCCAGTAAATAAACGTTCTGCTGTAACATTTGTTAGAGGTAATGTATGGTAATGCTGTTATCTCATGTGTATGTAACATTGACAATTATTGTAAAAGGAAATAATGATATCATGACAGAAGACTAAAGAATTGTTGCTTTATTTCCTGAGTAAAGGGTACATATACACTCTATGATTTTTAAGTATCATTTGGGATAAGCATCTGTGTAATTGGCCCTAAGCCTGCTATCAGACTGTTGTCAAAGGAGATTTTAGCTTCAACTGCCACGCAATGTGATAAATGTGCAGTTTGGTGCAGGGCATTGCTAAGCAGCTGATTTTCAGAGCACTGGCTTGCAATGAACCATTTGGCTTGGTGTACTCTTTGTAATGGCAGTATCAAGGAACTGTGAATTTTATTAATACTCACTTAACTCCCTGGTTGTATACAGTATGTGAGTTCTAAGTGTTGAGAATTTCTATTACTTCAGACAGCATTAGATATAAAGTTCTAAGACATATACGTATATAAAATATGAGAGAAGCCAACTCAAAAGTAATATTTTTGTTGTGAAGCAGCCTCTATTTTTTAATGTCATGAATGATCCGGCAGGGAAATCTCCTTGCCTTAGTTCCCTCCTCTTTTCCTATCCACCTTGGAGTTTTTGTGTTCTGCCCCACCTTTGTGTGTTTCAGCTCCCCCTGTTGCATTCTCCTTAACAAAGGAAATAATTAAAAATCAAAAAGTTACCATAGGACCCCCTCATAAGGGCCATGATAGGTGTGGGGACCCAGTGCAGATATCTCACTGATAGAGCCTTGTGGAAATAAAAATAACTGGCATGTGGTTTAACTTTTGGCATCTACCAAAAATAAAAAAAATTGATTTGAATGCGCTGACCCTTTAAAGGATAAGTGCAGTTTCATACTCCGTTTTGCCCCTACCTCTTCCAATTGCTTAAATTGCTCCACTCTCAGCCTCTGGCTCCTCAAATGCATTATTTTCTGTATTCAGCAGCCTCAGTCTTCTTCATTAGTTTACATCCGTGACGTATACTCTTTTATGTGCTGGCTGCATCTGCACACTAGCTCTCAGTAGACTTCTGTGGGGCCATTTACTGAAGGACTCTGGTTTGGGAAATAGTCCCATGAAAGTCATATCCATCCAGTCATATCCCATTCCAGAAGCGCATTTATGAGGTCAGGCACTAATGTCGGACGAGAAGGCCTGGCTCGCAGTCTCCGCTCTAATTCATTCCAAAGGTGTTCTATTGGGTTGTGGTCAGGACTCTGTGCAGGCCAGTCAAGTTCCTCCATCCCAAACTCGCCCATCCATGTCTTTATGGACCTTGCTTTGTGCACTGGTGCGCAGTCATGTTGGAACAGAAAGGGGCCATCCCCAAACTGTTCCCACAACGTTGGGAGCATGGAATTGTCCAAAATGTCTTGGTATGCTGATGCCTTAAGAGTTCCCTTCACTGGAAACTAAGGGGCCAAGCCCAACCCCTGAAAAACAAACCCACACCATAATCCCCCCTCCACCAAACTTTACACTTGGCACAATGGAGTCAGGCAAGTACTGTTCTCCTGGCAACCGCCAAACCCAGAGACATGCATCGGATTGCCAGACAGAGAAGCGTGATTCGTCACTCCAGAGAACCCGTCTTTGTGATTGCACTTTGTGATTAAAGGCTTGGATGCAGCTGCTCGGCCAAGGAAACCCTTTCCATGAAGCTCTCTACGCACTGTTGTTGTGCCAATCTGAAGGCCACACGACCTTTGGAGGTCTGTAGCTATTGACTCTTCAGACAGTTGGCGACTTGTGCGCACCTGTTCCCCTTTGTTATAATACCACTAACAGTTGATCGTAGAATATTTAGTAGCAAGGACATTTCATGGATGGACTTATTGCACAGGTGGCAACCTATCACAGTACCACGGTTGAATTCACTGAGCTCCTGAGAGTGACCCATTCTTTCACAAATGTTTGTAAAAGCAGTCTGCATGCCTAGGTGCTTGATGTTATACACCTGTGGCCATGGAGGTGATTGGAACACGGTAATCCAATTTTTTGGAGGGGTGTCCCAATACTTTTGGCAAATAGTGTAGTTAGGCGCATGTGAAAAGTATCCTCTGCTCCACTCAAGTTACGTGTCTACCAGCTACTCAGCCCCAGGTGCCTTCTCCCACTCAGCTTGTCCCAGCCAAAGATATTATGTAATGGATAAACAAACAGGGCCACACTCCAGGCCAGTTACTAAATGTAGATTAAAACCCATAACCCGGTACATTTACAATCCACCTGCGCTCTTCCTTTGGCATGTTTAGTTTGATAACAACTTAATCATAGACTCTACAATTAAACTCTTATCAGGAGCTTGGGTTAATTGTAAATGTACCAGGTGATTGGTTATAATATAAATATTGTAACTGGCCTGGAATATGTCTCTTTTCCTTTATCTAATACATGATATAGTCAGGCAGTGCTTAGGTGCAAACCATCTGACTGGTTATCAAAATGGTGGGGAAAAATACATATGTACATTGCAAGTGGATGAAACAGCTGGTTTGACAGCAACAAAGGCTATGTGTTTGTATGCGTGTAAACTCCCAAAACATGTTGCCTATTTTTATATTGTCCCCCCAACTCCACATTGCATAAATATGTATCTGGACTATTGTACAAAGTGTGGTGCTTCAATTCATCATTCTGCAACATGGCACTACAAACCAAGGAGACAGTGGATATCCTTTGGGATGTAAAAGCTGTCTGTCTGGTAGTAAAATCATCTATACCAATAGTATCTTATCCAAATTGGTCAGCTACACCAGTAGGATAACTTTGCGTGTCTGGCTTTTTCTTTCCACTTTTTCTAGTACAGAGTTAATACAGGAATTTCTACTCAGTGCTGTGACAGATTACCATTGTGGCAGGGGAGTGCAGGAAACTTAAGTATGATTGGGTGCGACAGAAACCATAACCTGGTCTTAAGTAAGGCATTGATAAATAATATTTTGGTTGACATGTGACTAGATGCAAATTTATGATGTTAGTTGGCCACATTAATGTTATGAATTAGCAGATAATACCTCTTAGCATGGAAACTGCTTGAGCAGCTCTTAACATGAACTGTGCTTTTATCTAGATGTTTGGCTAATAATAAACAAGGCTGGATGATAATGTGGTACTTAACGCAGCACTGACAAAATATCACATGAACAAACAGAGAGCAGGCGTGCTGCCACCCAGACAAGATCTCTTTGTAGTGCATGGGGACTAATTGGATGTAATCCCTAATTTAAGTTGTCTGTTTCTAGGTTACTGATCTTTATGGCTTTCCAAGGTACAAACCACTCTGACTCGGCCTCAGCATATTGTAATTAATACATAATTGTTACTTTTTGTTTTAGATGAAGAAAAACCTTTGCTGATTTGCAGCAGAAATATAGTTTGCTTTTTATAAATGGCGCTTTTGTGCACATTTTGTACAGTGCCATTTTAGATGTTTTGTTATGTTAACGCTAGGATATTTATGTTTTATCGCTGAGCGATGAGAAGCAAATTTGCAGCTTAGTCTGCATGTGAACCATAAACTGCTAGTAAAAAAGAGATCCTCATTACACCACACGCCAGTAACTACGGATATTTATATTTGAGGTTTTACCATCTGTGATATTTTATATGCCGGGCTGTCATAGACTTCCACTTACACTTCAACTCCACACTTGTTAAAGAAAAAATAATCCTCTCCTGGACAGTTATATACCGTACATTTCAAGTCTTTGGCAAACTTAAAGAGGAACTTTACCAATATCTTCAAAATAACAACAAAGGCACCTTTAGAAATGTTAGTAATGACAATCTACACACAGATACGTCTAGATAATTGCAGGCGTTGTATTATTTGCGTTCCTTGTTTTTTTATTTCTCTCCATTCTTCTCATGGTGGCCATTTTTACTAAGGCCAGATGAATCTATCTCCCTTTACTTCCTGGGACTCTGGCACAAGTGACTAGGGCATTTGACCATGCACATCATCTCAGGGGAGGAAAATGCCTCTCCCTGAGATCTCTTGAGAGCAATGCTGTGCTGATGTAACCTTCCCAGGACGCAATGCTTGGGC